AAGTTACATGAAACTTAGCAAACAATCTGATATTTCCTGTTCAGTGTGTGTACCCACTCAAAAATTTAAATGACATTCATTCATCAAATAAAACTTGCACATGTGGGACGGTTTTCTGAACCAAAATGTACTTGTTTGGTGCGCGGAAAATTCTTCGGGTCTGAACCTGAACCCCAGAACAAACCGGACCGGACCTATGGTCCGGTTCATGGTCCAGATTTTTGGGCGAGTGTTCGCAAAAAAAATTGACCCGGAAACATCCGAACGGGATTGCAGCAAGTGCGCTTCATCGAAGGCTATTCCCGAAGTTGGAGTGGAGGAATATGTTGGATGCACCCCAGTTCTCTTCGCAAACTTCCGATAAAATGTCACTCCAGTATATTAACACTGCCGCGGCAAAGTAAAATCAGAGATAAAGTACGGGTTAGCCCGGTTAGGTCAAATTTTCGGGAGACGCTCAATCCGCCGCCGAGTGTGTTCCTGGAGACAACTACGGCTGCCAAGAGTCCAAACCCTCAGCGGCAACATCGAAGGTATGTGCACCCGCGATTACCGGCCATTATGCCGTCACGGTCCTAGTAATAACTACTTTTAGGATTGTGACTAACGGGCGAATGTCCGCACAGACGCGGCAAATGCCAAACCAAAGGAGACCTCATCCTTAGTCACAATTAATTCAACCACAAGAAGCCCGGTCATATATCCGGATTTGTAGGCCCATTGTGCTGTGTTGATCCACAGTCTGACGGCCGTCCTGTACGGCAAAGAGAAGGTGGCGATCGCCGAACAATTTGACGGCCCTGCATGAGTGATGGCGGCCAGCGCGAGCAACGGCAGACAGACGGATTGTAGTCAGCTCGTTATATAAGTCTCGCCAGATAAAACTCACTGTTGTTCCCCGCTTCCATTCATCGTACCCGCTTGTAATGTCGATGTCTCTCCCGCCTCTCAATAGCATCACCGGGTATGTTCTTCGAGGCTCTCGTCGTTCCTTGGTTAACCAAGGTTTTTGAGTGCGCCACTCATCGGTACTTGGGCCAGTTCGGTAAGCAAATTTTTTATTTGCGCAACCCAAACAGCGCCTAAACACGGGACAGCTTCTCTACACGGTTGAGATGCTGGAGGCGGTGTACTACTTCCGCCACTTTGCGAATGATGACTTCAGGCTGAAAGTACGCCTCGTCCACTTCGAGATGGCCCTTCCCCTTGTCTGAACTTGGAGAAAGACGCTTGTTACTGTTGCCTTCGTTATTGACACCGTTTCTGCACTGGCAGACTACGCTTGCGTATATCTTGTGAGCAAGTTGCCTCCCATAACTTGCAAAGTTGACAGTTCGAACAGTACACTATAACTCACGCTGGTATGTTTCAAAGGCGACCAAAGTAAGGCATAGTCAAGCATTCTGCTACAGGCGACCCTGCGTACCTCGTAAAACAGAATTGGGTCAGCCGCTTTCCAGGATTTATTATATCTCTCCGACTCACCTTCACAGGCCATTCCCCTGTATATGATGTGCACAGGCTGTGTCGCTATCTTAGTTCAAAGTTTCCTGACATTCAGATACTGGCGTTTGTGAGTGATCCCATCCTTCACCCTAAGCGTCCATTCAATCCCGCAAAACTGCAGCACGAACAATACCATTGTTGTTGCTTTGTTGTCCATATTGATCTTGCTTGCGGTACGTATGCAGGCTACTCTGTAATTGATTGATATTCAGCCCTATACAGTTCGGAGGCACATTCGCCTCGGGTTTAGGAGTCTTACTATTCCCCGCCTTCAAAGACCGTACGAAGGTCAGGGTCACCGGAACGTAAGTTTACCCGTTTCTGGTCTAGCGCTGCACAAACATCGAGACTCATTTCACCGGATCAATTTGCAGGGTCTGGTTAGTTACCCAAGTCTCTGTAGACTTGATCATCGCGGCAGCCCTCGTCTATGAGTTGCAAAAGGCGAAATCGAAGTTTATGGAGGGCCAGCAGCATCGGTCCGTTAGATATTTCTGACGCATCCTCATTTCCCTCATTCGTCGTGCACAATACTTAGACTCCGCAATACTCTCAACCGCCTGGTCAGACTCGCGATTCAGACGGGTACGGCGACGGCGGTGATTGCGGTCGCGTCTTTAATCACGTAGGTCCGCTTATGCGCAATTGGCACAAAATTCTGAGATGAAGGCAGATTTTTAAAAAATGTGGAGACCAACAGTATGTTCGATGCTCCGTGAAAGTTGAATTCAGCCTCACGCTCACACATTGTACAATCTTCACCGCAGTTCCCACCGGCATCATGTACATCGTCGGCCGCGTCTACGTCCTCAGCATGGTTCGCTCGTCCCTTTGAATTGGTTTAGACTCAGCATGATTTACCTACTCTGTTAGCTCTTGAATCTCAACACCCGCGTCTCGGCTAACGGAGAAGTAAACCAAGGCACATCACAGGCACCGACGAGCGTAGCCTTTGCGCATGGTACTGGCACCTTAAACACAGACGGTCTCGGAGGCGTTCGTAAGTTGTCCCCTCGAATCGCTTTATTCCCGACGCTGACTTAAGCTCAAAGAATTCAGAAGCGCAATTGTATGCCGCGTTCTATTCTTACCGTGCAGCTTCATTTGCACTCAACTTTCTATTTCCTAGGTGCATATCGACAGTCGACAGGATTCGAATGGAACGTTCAAGAGCAGCGTAAGATGCCCACATATTTCATTTTGCTGGCTCTAAAAATATTAATGCCGTCTATGAAGAACCATACTGCGGAGGGCCCTCCGGCGGAAATCGAGATGACGACCACGAATTCGTCAAAGCAGTCCAAGTTGCTTGTCTAAGCAGACATATTACCACTGCTTTTTGTATTTTTCCTTCAGGTTTGGTTCGGCCCGTTTGAGATTGAGTGAAAATAGTCTAGTTATCATTTACATAATGGTCTGTCCTGTGTAAAAAGGCTGATGGTATCAAAAACAAATAATAAAGCCTCTCCTTGCGTTCCGGTGTCGACCGGGTGTCGTATGGTCAAGCTGTTCATAGCTTGTTGTGCCAGTCGTTTTTCTGCTTGAACCGCTGAACAGGATATCACAACCACAGCCACACCTAGTCAACGAACATTAGGTGTGTAGACTAATTTAAAGGGCGCTGGTAAGCCTCTCACTCAACTGCCAAGATGTCTCGGGAGAATAAACCGCAAGAACAACTTGTCACTCAACTACTGTACGCGGAAGTTGAAATCCAATCTGCCCGAATTCCTGGCTTCCGTGCCGAATCCTCCTTCATTCATTCAAAGCCCCACATATTTTTAGAGTACACGTATATATCAGAGAATAACGTTTTTCCTTCCCCGCGCCCTTGGCTTCCACATGTTGGGTTTTATTCCTCTCATGGGTCCGATATACCCAACTACACACTCATAAAATCTTTTGCGCAAGTAAGGTTGTCTTCGAGTTGGGTGCCGTCGGAATGGGCTGAAGGCATCGCATCGTCTCCAAATCCAGGACCATTCATATTATCAATGCGCAAGTTGGGTTTTGTTCGAAATGACGGTGGCAATTTGCAGTCCGATGGCCCATATACCCAAGTATCCACACAAGAGAATGAATCGGATGAGGTGCATGGTGCGCACCTGCTTACAGTATCAAATCGTTGTCGACCTATAGTAGGAGGCCTGGATTCGACTCTCAGCATCCGAGTGGCCACAGATAAGTAGCCCCATTTTTGGGGGGAGTTTGGCTTTGAAACAGCCGGGCGGAACGTTTATTCATCCACACGCGCGCATCCCCTACCAGGAAGTCATGACCCGCGGCCCGCCAACATGCATCTTCTCCTGGAACTGCTGGATCAGGTTCGACTTTTTACTTCTTCCCAGCGCCGTTCGCTTGAGCAACTAAAGTGGGTGTAGAAAATTACGGCCCCATGTACCCAGATAAGCACACAAGACAATAAATCGGACGTGGTGTACGTTGCACGCTTGCTTACAGTGATCATGGCTTTCAAGAATCAACTGTAGTGGGAAGTCTGAGTTCGACTCTCAGCGTCCGAGTGGTCCGAATGGCGGCCTCTTTTTGCTCACAGTATTCATGGAACGTTCATCCAAACGCGCACCATCTACGACGAAGACCCACCAACCGTAACATGCATCCATATATTCTGAATCCGACTTTTTCTCCATCCCCGCGCCGCTCGCTTGCACATGGTCAGTTTAATTCCTCTCAATGGGGTCCGATATACCCCAGTACACATACCAGAGAATTAGTCGGATAAGGTGCATGGTGCACGCTTGCTTACAGCAGCCAATGCTCTACGTGCTGTAGCAGGAGGCCCGAGTTCGAATCTCAGCGTCCGAAATTCGGTAATGAGAGTCGTTTTTTTGTTCCTTTTGAATCCTTCATGAACCGCTGAAAGTACTTATATCGCACCCATGCCAAGTCAACATTGGGACTATAGAACTAACGGCGGTGGTACGCCTCTCAACTAACAAGAACCTTGCCACGGCGTTGGAAAGAGCAAAGTCGCTAGGTGGAAGTTGAAATCAAACTCGTCCGAATTCTTTGCTTTGCGTGCCGAATCCTCTTTCATTCAATCAAAGCCTCCCATATTTTCAAATTACCCGGATGTACCAGCAAATAACCCGGACGTGGTGCACGGTGCACGCCTGCTTACAGTTACCATTCGATTGTTTCATTCATCCTTTAGTAGGAAGTCTGGGTTCGATTCTTGGCATCCGAGTGGCCACAGATACTCCCATCCATTTTTTTTCGGGGGAAGTCTAGCTTTCAAACTGTGGTATTAATTTTCACCGACGCGCGAACGGTCATCCAAACGCGCGCTCACCACCTACGAAGAACATCCCTCAACATGCATCTGAATCTTGACCTTGAAGGGCTGGAATCTGGATCAGGCTCGACTTTTTACTCTGCGTTTTCTACTTCCCAGCGCCGTTCGGTTGCGCATGTTGAATTTTATTCCTCTACAAATGGGGTTCCATATACCCAAGTACATATCAGGGAGTGAATCGGATGTGGTGCACGGTGCACGCTTGCCTTCGGTGCATCGCTGCCCTCTGGCTGCAGCAATAGGCCTGAGTTCGACTCTCAGCGTCCGAGTATCGTGTGTGTTTATTGCGAATTTTTTTCCTTTTTGTTGGGAGTCTGCTTTGAAGCCGCCGACGAGGCCGACGAAAGAGGATTGAATACACGCCAGCCAAGTTTACAGAAATTATTACACTATGATACACGCCCGCAACATGCACCGTACATTCCAACCAACTACGACGACGAAGACCCAACGTCACGGTGCATCTTCTCCTTAAACCGCTGAATCAGGTTCGATTTCTTACAGTTCTCCATTTTCTTCTCTTTCCCATCCCCATTCGAGTCTCCCGCCGTATTCGTGTCGTCTGCGGTCCCAGACTCGGACGCGGGCTCGTCGACGTCCGCCTCCATACCCAGCGTCAGATCTGCATCCCCCGTGGGCACGTTACAGCGAGGAGTTGAGCCGCGCTCCCCTGGCCGCCGACGGGACTCAACGCAGACGCCGCGGCGAAGTCGCCGGTGGGCACGGGGTCGGCGAGGCGGGCGGAGTTGAGCGCTGCGCTGCCCTGTACGCTGCACCGGGACTCGACGCGAAGTCGCCGGTGGGTACATTGTCAGCAAAGCGCGACGAATTAAGCGCCGCGCTGCCTTGTCGCCCTACTCCTTCCACCGGCGTCCCGACCTCCGTCTCCGTTGGATGTCGCCTCCAAGCGAGGCCGTCGACGTCCGCATCGCGCGAAAGTTGTGGAACGGCGTGCGGCGTGGGATGCGGATGCAAGATGTGCGTAGGGGGGTACGTAGCGTTGGTGTGATGCGCGGGGTGGAAGTGCCCGGGCTTGGAGGCAACGCCGGGTGCGAGGAGAACAGGCCCGAGCTTGGGCGGGGCGCGCGAAGCCGAAGCGGAAAACTGGGGATGAAGCGGTGTGATGCGCGGGGCAGGTGCTCGGGTATGGTGGCTACGCTGGGGTGCGAGGAGAAGAGGCTGGATGTTGGGCGGGGAATGTGGAGGAATGCGAGCCAGGCGTCAGGCGGGGGACACCGGAATCCATCGCCTAGGGAGACTGCACGAGTTGCGGCGATTCTGTGGAAGGAGAAGAAGCGACGCCGGGATGCGACACCATCACCCCTGAGGTCGTTGAAAGCGAGATCGCGGACAACGAGTGGCCCATGTGAACGGTGGGCTGCGTTTGAGACTGTGGTGTCTTGCCAAGGGAGGGTGGATACGGATGATTCAGAGGGGGGGGAGCGGCGGGAGAGAGGATTCGGAGGCGGAGGCGGGGTGAGTTTGGTGAATTCCGGCGAGGCAGCTGGGACAACTGCGAGAAAGTCAATTTCATTTCGATCGAGGGGAACGATATTACGCATCCAGATACGACGCCAAGCCCGGCGGAAGCAACGACGTCGCGGCAGTCAGAATCGCTTGCGCGGTCTCGAGAAGCGAGCCCTGCCATGCCTGCGGGTTCCGCACACCCACGTTCGCGATATCATTATCTGTGTTCCCGTCGTATCGGGCTGGACATCGGACTCGAGGTGGTGTGGGAACACGCTGGGGACCGGGGTGCCAACGCGGGTGCGGGTAACGTGGCCCGCCATGGGGGCGGTCATGCTTTCGCCTCATTCGCTGGGAGCGCGCCCGAGGGGATGGTGGAAACCATGTTGGCGTTGGGAGGCGAAGCGTGGAAGGTAGCCAATTTTCGTCGTCCATGAGACTAAGTAGAGGGCGTAGAAAGCGAGCAAGCCGCATCTTCACTTCACCTCAGTGAGTGTGCGTAACAAAGACTAAGGAAAAGGGTCCGATCGGCACGTGCCCAAAGAAGAGGGCAACAATGCGAGGCGTCAATTGTGAAGAGCACGGTATGGTGTTGCCGCAGCCTACCGTAGCCGGGACAGGTGTATGGCAAATATGCTGTCTGATAAATCAAAAAATGTCTTGCAGTATGAATTTCTACGTTTTTGCTACAATTGATGTTGAATTTCAGGGAAAAAACATGGAGTGAATGGTTTTTAGTTCAGAAAAAAGATATGCAGACTTTGTTGAGAAAATTCAACACAATGAGTAGGAGAGCAACAAGAAACGCACCATTGAGCATGTTGAAAAGAAAAAACCCAATATTGAAGGAATGAAAAAAACACAATGCTCAAAGAAAAACCACAATGTGAACTTGGGCTCAAAGTTGGGCTCAAGTCAAGCATGACCAATTATGTCTGACCCATAATACAAAATCACGGATCAATAATCTTGAGTCACTGTTACGATCAGCATCCTTGCTTCCTGCCTTTGCTCCAATACGTCCAAGTAGCAGTACTGATGGCGGATGATGGAGTGATGGCGGATGATGGCGGATGATGGCGGATGTGATGGTATTAATTAACTGCATGAAATCTTCTTCAAGATATTTTATTTGTGTTTTGTTGTTCAGCAGTTCCCCTTAAGCTAAAACTCTGCAGTAAAGTCCTTGGAGTAAATTATCTCCAGTCAATTCACAGTAATACTGCAGGTAAGTCTCTGAAGGACATTTCATTCACAACTTTCCATTCACGAGTTTTCCTTCACTAAATTCCCTGAATTGGAAGTTCTTCAAGTAGAAGTCTTAACAAGGTTATGTCCAGGTAATCCAGTGGAACTAATTCCCTCAAGAACATTTGCTCTGTGGAAAACCTCCAATTCTCTGGAGGCAATCTTCTGGAGGCATTCTCGGGATTTCCCTCCAGCAGATTCTGGGCACACAGTTTCTGATTTTCCCTCCACAAAACTAATGCTGATTCAAAGTGATCTGATATTATACTCCTGGCAAAATTTAGTTGTTGTCAATGCCTTGATCTCAACTACCATGTCTCAAATGATAACAAATCTGAAAACCATGTGTCAAATGCATGTGTTCTGCAGGTAAAACTACGATACCCTTGTTCATAACTAATTTCTATCTCTCTCTCTCTCTCTACCTACACAAACCCTCTGCAATCTCATCACTCCCCACTTGCAAGCTTACACCGACTTACACCGATTGCATACATCTCCCAAGTTCCCCGCTGATTGTCTCACCTTTTCAAGAATCTCTGTAGATAAAATGACCCCTTGCATTTACCAACCCTGTAGCTATTCTAGTTTCAATCTACTTACAGTATAGTACAGTTGCATAGCCAAATAGGCCAGATATGACCATTGTCGACGATGGGGTTCTGTGACGCACCTCAATGGTAGTTACTCTCCACTTATGTCATGAATCACCCGGGTTCTACTTTTTCACGCGACACATCTGCGTCACGGGACTATCATGACGCGACCACGGGACCTTCTCATGGTTGAAACCCGATCGCGGGTTTCAAAGGACTTGGACACGGGAAGACGTTAAGGGTTAGGGAACCCGCACAGTTGGTTCCTCTAACCCTCTGACGCTACATACAGGAGCCTGATCGCGGGCTTCAGGGACCAAGATATTGGAAGACGTTAAGGGTTAGGAATCCCGCACCATCGGTCCTCCTAACCCTCAGACACTATGGTGTAACACACAGAAGCTAGGAGCATCACACATTAATGCTCCTTAACGTTACTATACAGGAACTGATCACGATCACATTAATTTATTCATAATGTATATAAGCATGGTAATAGTTCAGCAAATGGCCCAAGTTGCCCACAAATGCGAGGACTGGGACAGCCTGGGCCTTGGAGGAGATGTTGAGTGCAGGGATAGATGGGATGTCTTGGGACAGAGCATGAGGCTGAGTCGAGCAGTGTGGTACTCAGGGCAGATAAGGAGGAAATGAGGGAAGAATTCAGTGTTGAAGCATGACTGCCTATTTGGGTCTTTGGCATCTCACACCAGGTTGGGATGTTTCTATTTCATCTTATTTATTTGCTTACTTGTCACTGATTGTGTCTGCAGCATTTAAATGGTGCAGAGTAACTTCCTAGTCTCTTGTAGACAGACCCTTTATATGAATGTTCGTACCTCTAGTCACTTCCGTGCCCCTCAGTCTCTTACCAGTATCTGGTGCAACTGAGGATGACTTACTCATTTGTAAACTCTACAATCTGGGACAGCACAGCAGTGGCAGAGTGGGAAGGGGGTGAGCCTGAAGCAGTACCTTGTGTATTGTGTGCAGGCCACATGTGTTTGACACATATGAAGATCATATGCCTGAGTTATTGCCCCCAGTGTCTCTTGAAGAGGTCTTGCCCAGATTGCATGCACACCAGTTTGGATCAAGACCCTGGACCTTATCCATGTCCACCATTTCCTCAGGCTTACCAAAGGTTATGACCAGAGATTGTCCCAAGGGCCGCGTGGCTCTTACAATTTTCCCGTCCATATCTCTGTCTTTTTAGCCTCAGTCCTGGACTGTCCCGCCCAAATTATCTCAAGATAGCATTCAGTGTAGGTGCGGAGACCTTATACCATATTTGGTCAGAATTCCGCATTTAACTCACCCAAGTGCAGACAAAGGTTGACTGTACACTCTTCCTCTCCATCAGGGAATGCTGCCAGGTTTTCCCACTCCATTTATTGTTGGCGTAAGACTTGTTTTTTAAGTGGGTCTTAGTTTTCAATCCCAGTCTCTTGTGCAGTCCGCAAGAGACATTACCATCCTATTTATTTTATCGAAGATGCACTCACCAGATGTGTACCAAGAGTATTATAGCATGGTCATTCCAACATTCATCCACATAACCACATTGAACCCCTTTGAAGACCAGCTATGTGTGTTCAAAAAACAGATGTACATGGTTCAGTGAGTTTAGTTCAGATCCTACATATGTTTCAATTCCCAATTGACATTTAGTACATTATTGGAGATGCTTGCCAGAATATATAATCTGGCTCTCAGTCAATCCAAAGTTTTAACATACCTGCTCAGAACTGTCCCAGGGCCAGCAATGGCATGAGATGTCTTCTGAAGCTCAGAGTGAGCATAGTTCGACAGTTGGGACATATGTAGTCTTCTGCCATGTGGAGGGAAAGGGAACTGAGCTGAACCAAAGCTGAACTGTATAGCACCTGGTAGAAGCAGAAGCAAAGTGAACTCTTGCTGAAGGCAACTGGACAGTGGGATGAGAGCTCTGTCCATGT